GTCCACGTCCAAAATCGGTATTTTTTATAAATGGTAATTTTTCTTTTACAATGTGTGCCCATAAAAGTTACTGTTTTACTCTATTTAAATTCGTTATTTTTTTTCACATATTTCCAATTTTAAAAAACTATATTGAGAATTGAAAAATGGCAAATAGTTTTAGTTGTTTCACAGATTTCCCTAATTTTATTAAATTATAGATAATATCTAGCAAAATTACAGAAAAAAGTATTAAATGACATGCTATAGGAAGAAAACTTTTGGTAATTTGATGTTTTTAGGGGTTAAAAACACAAACACGTGCTGTCATTCTCGTCCTCTAGTTCTCCACCAGAAAGGCACTAAGTTCATTTGCCAACATGCCAAACTTTTCCTTTAAAGAGGGCAGCAGTGGCTCTGTGGTTGAGCTACTGGTCAGAAGGTTGGAGGGTCAAGCCCCATGATGCCAAGCGGCCACTGTTGGGTCCTTCATACAAATTGCACTTCGACCCCGACTTCCCAACAAGCTGGGAGTTGCGATTTCAGCATTTCTTCTCTTCCTGTTGCAGGCGAGATGAAGGACCGACTGATCGAGCTGCAGGTCATCACCAACAAATCTTCAGAGGAGGCTCACGGATCTGAGGAGGATGCAAGCCCCGAGTCTGGTGGACAGGAGCAGCAGCAGCAGGCCATCGTGTTCGAGGGTGAAGACGTGACTGATGTTATCTACAGGAACGCCAAAGAGATCAGGAGGGAGATGGCGCTGCTCAGGAGGGACGTGGAGCATCTGAAGACCCAGAACACTCGCTTCCTCACGTCCATCCGGAGGATCAGCGCCATCAAGCGGGACGCCACCGCGCTCGGACGGGACGTTCAGGCCCGAGCGCAGGCAATTTACGGGAACCTGGAGCGTCTGGGGAAGCTGAGCAAGGATCTGGAGGAGAGGCACAGCTCCACGTCGGTCGTGGTTCGAATCTCCCGCTCACAGTACTCGTTTCTGACCGCCGCCTTCCGCCAGGCCATGTCCGAGTACAACGAGGCCGAGCTGATGCAGAGGGAATACTGCATGGGCCGCATCCAGAGGCAGGCCGAGATCATGGGCAACAGGCTGAGCAGGGGGCAGATAGACGAGATGATCGAGTCGGGCAACTGCAACGTCTTCACGGGCGTCGTGGCGGAGACAAGGACTACCAGGTCGGCCCTCAACGAGATCGAGACCCGGCACAAGGAGCTGCTGCAGCTGGAGGGTCGCATCAAGGAGATCCACGAGATCTTCCTCCAGATCGCCGTACTGGTGGAGGAGCAGGGCAGCATGGTGGACAACATAGAGGCGACCGTAGCTGCCACCGTGGACTGTGTTTCCGAGGCCGGGAATGAGGTCAGGAAGGCTGTGAGATACAAGAAAAGCCATCCATGCAGGAAGCTCTGCTGCTGCTGCTTCCCGTGCTGTAAATGAGAACGTTTTTCAGGAGGATATGGAGTCAAATTGGCTTCTTATGCATTTTAAACTTATTTCTAAGTCATTTTTAAGTTTTTAAGAATAATTTGCGTCATTTTTTTAATGATCTGGTCTAAGAAAAAGGACCTAAGTCATTTTAAACCACACCCTTGAACAAATGTATGCAGTGTGATGTGGTTCCTGACTGTTGCTGCCTCTGCGTGACCGTTGTAAAGACATTTGTGCTCTTTTTTTTTTGATGCTACCTCGCAGCTTTGTCCTTCAACTTTCAGCTTTGTAATGGCAAAATGAAGTCAGTAAAGTGTGGATTTTTTTCTTCTTCTTCTTCTCAATACCTCAGAGTGTGTCGTTTGGAGAGTAGGCCCGGTGCTTACTGCAGCCGTTGCTTCACAAGTCTTTAGAAACACTGTGAACACAGCTCAGCCTCTGACTGTGGTTAGCAGGGCAGGCGTGATAGCTTTGTGTGAATTGTGCAACCAGTTTGCCGCCCCTGTGTAGACTTGTTGCTTTTCATGGAAGAAAACTATCTTTAACTTCTGCTGGTGTCAACTTAAAGATCTGTTACTGGAATCAAAGCGTTTAAACAATATGACAGGACTTTTTACGCAAAAATGCATCTAAATCTATGTGGAAAATAAGAGGATTTTCTCTTTATCTCGCTGTCTTGTGCGTGCAATGATTAAAACAGAGCTTTATTTTTGCTTGTGTGGCAGCCCATCACATACTGGGGGAATCCCAGTTACCAGCTGTTAAAAAAGTAAGGGGTGTTGGGAGCTTCTGATCACCTCAGACAGCAGTGGGTGTTTTCAGAATTAGCTGCCTCTGCTCAGTGTTGAAACGGCTGCAATGATTGCACTTCCTCAGCAGCTCTGTGTGGTTTGTAGGGGGCATTTACTCGAAGCGTGACGGGCTTTATTTGAACTGTGGAGCCGTGAGTTTACTCAGGTGAACCTACCAGTTGTCCTCATGTGGTTGCTGTAATCTTATCTGCCGTCTGTTATGTGCTGTGATTGTGTGTGTTCACCAGGATGGCCGAGTGGTTAAGGCGTTGGACTTAAGATCCAATGGACAATAGTCCTCGTGGGTTCGAACCCCACTCCTGGTAGGAGATTTTAACCAAAATATGTGGATTATCTGGATTTAAAAAGAAACATGTTGGTGGTTTTGCGCAGTGTAATACCCTGAAAACGACAGATAAATGTCTCCCCGAGCTTTGACTTGTCGCTGTGGCATAATTCAACATTTCAGTGCTTTCCTTACAAACCGCTCAATCTTTATGTAGGAAATACCTTTAAAGGTTGAGGTTGTGAAACGAGTTCTATTTACAGCCACGTGTTACTAGTATAGCCACATAAGCTATGGAGGTTCAGAAAACAGCAAACACCTTGACCATGCTGGTAAACGTTAACCACATTATAAAAATGTTGTGGCTCTTTTCAGTCGGGATATTTGGGCAAATATAGGCAGCACGCTTCAAGTTAAACATCAAGATTTAAAAGCATACTCTGGTCCAAATTTTAAACAAAACAGTGGGACATAAACCACTGTGGAGTTGATTTTAAAGGTTCAAGACCAACAATACAGTAACATGTAGTTGTTTTCTGATGCTAGAAATGGTGTTTTTATATCAGCAATGCTGTAACACAAGAGCAACTCTGGCCTGTAATGTGACTTCTAAGATAAAAGAAGCTTTATTTTATATCCAGGCATGAGGGAAGTGCTACAAAACTGAAGAAATACTGTTAGAAATACATTTAAATTCATGCTTCAGCACAAAATGGTTGGAATTCAAACATATATTTAACGTCCCAAAAGTAAAAGTTTTCATACTTGATGCATTTATGTGTTCACCATGCTAGCGACTGAGTTGGTAAAGATGGTTTTAATCACTTTTTATCGTTTAAAGCTGCATAGTGTCTGAATTTCTCCGCTTGGATCAG